TGAGGGTTGCATGTAGGGGTGTAAAAATGATATTGTCTGCCATCGGGCCTAGCGGGCTCTTGCCAAAAATCAAGTTGGTCGAGACCAACCCACTAGCGCAAAATCTTGGCCCAGGCCGAGGGAGTACTCGGGTCATCGGGCTTGGGCTTGGGTTTGGGCATTTTTTTTATTTTATTTTTTTCTCCAAAATTTTATTTTTTTCACTAAAATAACTTGAAAATGACATTGGGCCTTGGGGCAGGCGGGGCCTCAGGTTAGGCTTTGAGGGAGCCAATGGGTCGGGCATCAGGCCTCAAAATAAATGGCCCAAGTCTAGCCCAAGGCCTTGGGCTGAGCTCGGACCTAGTTGGGTCAGACCACTTTAGCCCGCGAGCAGGCTTCAAGTGGGCCGCGGGCTGAGGGCCCGATTTTACACCCCTAATTGCATGTAGTTGTTGGGCTTGGACCATGGTGGATTTGATTATCAAGCTGTTAGGTTTTGTTAACTTGCTAATTGTAATAATTATTCTCCTATTGATTGACAAAATAAATAAATAAATAAATAAAAAGAAATTCAAAGTCTCAAATTATGATCATAGATATTCCAAAACATATATAAATTGAATAAAACTCTTATAAAAACATTTGTATGCAAGAATTTAAGATTAAAACCAAACTAAATCTTGATTTTCAAAACAAATCTACAATTTTGATTTCATACATGATCTAACTTGATTTTCTTCCATTTCTTCATATCAAACCTCAATTCAAGACTTTATAAACTCTAAAACACATGTAGATTATATAAAATCCATAGAAAACATTTATTTGCAAAAGAATTCAAAGTTTAATTTGATCAAAAACATGATTTCCATGAAATTTCTTGAAACCTAACTCATTTCAAACTTTCCTCCAATTCTTCATCTTAATTCTCTCAAAACCTCACTCAAATGATTTAACGTGTAGATTATTTAAGCAATACTAGAAAGAGGGTGAAAATCCTTATCTTATGATGAATTTTTCACAATTTTTAGCTTGGATTTAGTACTCCTTCAAGTCTCTTCTACTTCTTCTTCTTGAGCTCAACTCTCTCTCTAAAATCAAAATTTTAGCCAGCTCTTTCTCTCTCTTTTTGTCACTTTTGTTGTTAATAAAATGTCAAGTAAACTCTTGAGGCTTCATGAACTATCTAATATCTTCCTCCATCTTCTAATTTACTTAATAAAATAATACTCCACTAAGTTTAACTAATCACACTTAACCTTAATTAATTAGGTTTAATTCTTAATCTTTATTAGTTAATTAATCTCAATAATATTAATTTAATCTTGTTTAGTCTTTATTAATAATCCTTATCAATTTTTCGACGAAATATCTAAAAGATTCTATTCATCAAACTAAAGCTATTAAGCCTTAGTTTGACATATTGGCTTTTTGAGTTTTTTGGCTAAAATAGTTACAAAAAAACAAAATAGGTTAAAAAGTCAATAAAATAAAATGTCACATCCAAATCATAATCATTTTATTTTTTCTCTCACAAAAGTCAAAAAAGCCAAAAAAGTTTATCCCTAGCCAAAAAGTAAAAAAGTCAAAAAGCCAACTCACATCCCAAACAAAACCTAAACTTCTAAATTATGATTTCTAAGATGTTTAAACATTTCAGTTTCAAGTTCGAAATTATTCTCTAACTTAATATTATTCTTTAAAATTTCTATACAAAGGCTTTTCTTCAAATTGATCCAACTTCCTAAGTCTTCTTTCCAAAACAATTATTCCTAAATTCTTCGATCATCAAAACTCTCCTACGAGACTTCTTATACAAATTCTTCACTTCTAAAAATTCTACAAAATAAGCACTCTACAAACATAATGTAATGCAACATAGGGAGGGAGTGTTTGAAATCACTTCGGTGAACACGCTCTATAAATCATCTCGATCCCTGTCCACTACTGTGGCTTGTGTCCGCGCTTCATTGGTGCCCTGGTGATGGGTCCCTCACTTGGTGAGGGTTAATTCCTGACTGGCAACTGATTACTCCGGGGTCAGGGCCCAACAGGGCCATAATGACACCACAGAGCCCTTTTTTAAAAATCAAAAAACATAATGTAATGCAGCACATAAGAATTTTAAAATAAAAGAATACATGAATGCAAAATTTAAAATGCATAGGAGGGAGTGTTTGAAATCACTTCGATGAGCACGCTCTATAAATCCCTTCGATCCCTGTCCACTGTTGTGGCTTGTGTGCGCGCTTCATTGGTGCCCTGGTGATGGGTCCCTCACTTGGTGAGGGTTAATTCCTGACTGACAACGGATTACTCCGGGATCAGGGCCCAAGAGGGCCATAATGACACCACAAAACCCTTTTTTAAAAATCAAAAAACATAATGTAATGCAGCACATAAGAATTTTAAAATAAAAGAATAAATGAATGCAAAATTTAAAATGCATGATCATGATGTGAGTGTCACACTAAGGTAGCCCTTATGTGGCAGGATAGCTTCCACGTCATGACAGATCCATAAACCACATGATGGATCCACAAATCATGAGTCTAACTTGGTTCACACACCCAAAGAGAAATTACTCATTTTTATATTATTATTCTTTCTATTTTTTTATACTTCATTTTGAGAACCCAGAGAGGAGCCCACAATATATAATCATTCCAAGAGTTGATTTTGTAAATCTGATGGTAAAAGTCGTCAATATAAAAAATTAATTTTATTGGATATCGAAAAATAGATAAACAGATTATATTTTGTTGTAGAAAATACATAGTTAAAGTTTAAACTCATAGTTGTTATTCATTTTAAAAAAAACAAAATGTAATTGATTCATGTGTTTAGTAAAATCTGCTAAAACTTATGACTTATTCACGCAAAAAAAATCTGCTAAACTAATTTTTTACATAATTCATCTTTATGGTTAAACTTACAAAATAAACTAAAAATCATCGTTATGGATTCAGAATGAGATCCACAAAATAAAATACGAAGAGACATGGATAATAGTGATATATGGAGGATTCCCTACTAAAAAACACATATTTTGATTGGTGGAAGGTGGGACCGGCCATTTTGAGTAATGGTTCATATATTTGATTAATCATATTATATGTGTTTGCATGTGTGAATAAATCCATTTTAAAATCAAGCAAACAAATTTTCATCATCTGTATCTTGATGTGGTCAACTGTGATTGATGATCTAACAAGCTTATGATTTCTGTGTTAGAAGACTCCAAACAAAAATGACTATATAATTATACAAATAAAATTTTAATTTAGAAAAATAATGTGTATCTAATTTTTATTTAATATTTTACACACACATTCACATAGATCTCCAATTGTGGTTTAATTAAAAACATGACATGCTGCTATAATTTTTTTTCAAGTTAAAAAAAAAAAAACATTTTATTGTGACTTAGAATTGTAAAATATCACGCTGATCATTTCATACAAATCTTATACATAAAATTATTTTCGTATATTCTAAACTCTAAAGAAACAAATTAAAAAGGATAATGATGTATAAATAAATAAATAAATAATTAAAGATTTTCATTCACCCATAAAAGCTGTTTATTAAGAGTTATATTCATTTATTTCAAACTAAAACTTTATTAAAATGACTTGTTATTTAAAAAATATCACTATTATATGATTGTTATTAAAAAATAAAATTAAAGAAAAAAATCTCTCTTAACTGGATATTGATTGTACTCCAATAATCAATCCTTTAAACTTTAGGGTTTTGATATATTGAAAAGGTTTCTAAATTCTAAGATACTTATTCCTCGTGGAAAAAAAGGGTGTTGATCTTATCAGAATTTGGTAGTTTTTTTCAAAAAAGTGTTTTGTCTTCTAGCTTTAGTGGTTGTTGTCTTACTGTAGTTTATTTTGTTTGTATTGTCTCTATAGTATATAATGATGCCCTAAATGGTATGGCTGGTGTTTTCTAACTTTTTGTTACAGTGCTTACATCATTGTGAAAACTTTAGCATGATACAGCCTTATCACAAATTTTCACAACATTTTATACCATTTATTACTTGATTTTTATGAAATTATCTTTTAAAATTTATGAGTGATTTGAAATGATCTAAATAAATATATTTTTTAATTTTTTATAAAATATGAATTGGGTTTAAATTAGGTTTGAAATGATATGATAAAGAGATGATATGATAAAGAGGTGATGTAACTTAAATAAGATAATAATTTTTTGACTTTTTGACATTTTTAGATTATGACAAACAAGACCTTAATAAAAGTGTAGAAATGTCTCATAAATATTATCCAGGTTTTTTAGGAAATGTATTTGTATAGCGGAGATTAAAGTAGTGGAATGTATGAAATGAATATAAACTGTAGATTGATATTTCATAATAAAATTTAGAGTAAAATTTATAGGATTATAATATGGGATAAATTACACTTTGCCTAATTTATGTTTGGGCATTTTATCACTTTTTGTCTTGGATTTATTTTTCCCCACTTTGACCATTCATATTTTAAGTTTTTCTTATTTTACTCCTCAAACTAAAACTGTTCAAAATTAGATAGAAAATATTACATTAATTGTCACATCACATAAAAAATATATTATATTGGGGGTTAGATTTGTGTCAAGGATGTAAGTTATATATAATAAAATATTTTTATATCATGTGACTATCAATATGTTATTTTTGTCTAATTTTGGATATAAGTTAGTTTTTGGAGTACATTAAGAAAAACTATGAACAGTTAAAGTGAAAAAAAAAAATTAAAGTGGAAAAAAGACCAAGTATAAAAGGGGCAAAATGTCATTTACCCATTATAGTACTATTCTTAAAAAATAGGGTTTATTATATATTATACCTCTAAACTATCGTCAAATTGTCTATTTTAGTCTTTAAACTATCAATTTTTGATCAGCAAAAGAAAACTTAGATTGATGAACAAATAATCATTACATTAAAAAAGGGAAAAAAATAGGTGCAAAAAGTATCATAACGAACATACCAATGCCAATTAGGTTGGCACCAATGCCCAATCTTTAGCTAGCACGCCATCAGAAGTTGGTGAGCTACCAACCAAAACAAAAACAAAAACAAAAAACAAAGCATCACAACAATAGGCCAACAACATAATAAAACATCATCATCCACCAAAATCCTCTGCAAGCAAAGCCTCCACTAGTCATTTTCTATCATAGGTACCTGAGCATCACCTGATAGATAATTTTGAAGCCAAAAAACAACTCTGAACAGCACAATTCAACAACCATGACAAGGCAGCAACAAACAGCACCAATAATAACAACACTAGCAGTAGCATCAACTATAAGATACAGAGCTGTGCAACAGAACAGAACCAATATTGTAGAAAAACATCATCAATACTATAGCAGAACCAAGTTGACTACTTACAGAAACAAACCAGGTAAAGTGCCCCCTGCTGCCATATGCACTCTATCAGATGAGCAACACAATAAAAAATGCCCCCTTTATACCCTTCCAGCCAATACACCAGCAACTGCCCAAATTTAGTAACAAATATGCCGTAAGTTTGAAATAATATCATGCACAGAGTAAGGAAAATTCTTTATACTAAACTTTGCCCATAATGCCACTCTGACTTTCACCAAATTTTCCAAATTCACAAGATCAAGTTGAGTATTATTAAACAAGCATTCATATCTTAATTTCCAAACTGACCATAACACAGCCAGAGGAACAATTTTCCAAATCTTCATCACCCTTTTTTTTTACCTTAAAACTAGCCCACCAACTCAGTAAGGACTGCATAGACCCAGAGACAGCCCAACACAAACCCCACCAGCCCACAATCCCAGACCACACTTTCCAAACACAACTACAATGCAATAATAAATGAGTCTGTGTCATCACCTCAGATTTACAAAATACACACAGAATGTTTGCATCAGGCTTCAGTACCCCAATCATTTGCATAAAGACAACGGACTTCATCCTACCTCTCTATGCTAATTGTGTCATGAATTAAACCTTTGAGAGAGCAATATTATTTCCAATATTCATGACAAATCTGAGATTAGACCCTTTACTTGAATCCATCCAAGTCCATAATGAAGCTACATAAAAGACTCCAGATGGATTAGCCAACCATGTACAATAGTCCTTAGCTCGATTTCTTAAACTAGGTGCCAACTGAAGATACACATTCAAGTTATATAGTTCCTCCCCTTCCCAAGCAAAAAGTTGTCTTCTGAACATGAAATTCCAGTCATCACCCCTATCTTTCCTTTGATAAAAATCAAACAATGAACCATCCTTATCAACTGATAATGAAAAAAGTCTAGAAAAAGTAAGGGATAGACTTTGATCATTACACCACACATCCACCACAAATTTTGTTCTAATAACATTCCCAATCACAATCTTAAAATTAGATAAGAAGAACTCCCTCAGGGATATATTACTTGAAGCTAAGGACAGAATATCCTTCCACAAGATAGATACCCCCCCTGACTCCACTATCAATGGACTCCACCTGCCACCAATCTCACCATACTTGCTACACACCACTTGTTTCCACAATGCTTTATCTTCCAAGCCATACTTCCACCACCATTTAATCAACAAGCATTCATTGACCTCACTAAACTTCCTTACACCAAGCCCACCTGGGCTTTTATTTTTTCGCACTTCCTCTCATTTTACAAGGTGCACTTTTCTCTTCACCTCATCACCACCCCAAAGAAAGCTAGATTGAATTCTATCTACCTGCTTAGCAATACCCACTAGCATCTTAAATATAGACAGAAAATAGACTGGTAGTCCTGATAATACAGACTTAATCAAAGTTAATCTACCTACAAATGATAAACATTTCCTCTTCCATAGAGCTAATTTCTTCTTAAACTTATCAACAACTGGCTGCCACGTTCTCCTATTCCTTGGATTTGCACCTAAAGGCATACCCAGATAATTCAAAGGCAATTTTTGAGTCAAGCAATTCAACTTTTTGGCAAATCTCTTCACCAAATCACCTTGTAGATTTGGTGTGCTTTGTGGGCTACTGTAGATTTTGCTTGGTTTTTTTGGGTGTTTTGGTGAACGTGATGGATGTTCATTGGGTCGGCAAAGAGGACGATTCAGATTTGGCTAGGATGTTCATTCGGGCGCTTCTTTGCGAGTGGAAGTTTGAGGGGTGTTTTTCGTTCAGATCTATAGAGGTGTTTCGGTGCTTTGTTCGGGGGGAAGCATAAGTGTCAAAGATGATCCGGATTTGGGTAGGATTTCATTTGAGCACTCCTATGCGTATGGAGTTTGAGGGGTGAACTCCATCCAGATGGGTGGTGGTGTCTCAGCGGTTGTTTTGATTAAGAAGAGATTGGCGTTGGGTGGACAATATAGGGGCGGTGGATTAGTTTCAGAAGTGGGTGTGTTTTCGGTGTTTGGGTTGAAAAAGAAGTCGTTTCGACCATAAAAGAGGAGGTGACATTTTGTTCAGCTGTGGCAGTGGGTCTCGTTTCCAAAGGTGTGTTTGGCTTTGGCCAAGGTAGCTTCGGCCATGGTTGTTTTCGGACTAAGTTATTACAGGCACAACTACCAGCACAAGGTTATGGTGGATTTTACTTCAATAGCTTTCATGACAAAGGCCAATGAAAAGAGGACCAACTTTGAACTCCGGCGGAGGGTGTGTTTTTGCCTTGGGTGAGCTGATAGTGGGTGAAGTTCGGCAGAGGGGTCAAGCGTGGGTGAAGTCCGACGGAGGAGGTGGACATAGGAGACACAGCATTGTGCCTTGGGAGTAGTGAGGCTGTGCCTTGGGAGTTGAGGAGTGTGCTTATGGGTGCTACAGTGTCTGCATAGGTGAATAAAATATTTGGGTTATGGTTTGTTGAAAAGAGGAGTGCAGCAGCTTGGGTGTTGAAAAAGAAAATTTTAGTTTGTTGATAAAAGGAATGCAGCAGCAGCAGCTTGGCTGTTTTGGTGCTGGTTTTTGGTTTTGGGTTGTATGGGTTGATTTTGTGGGGAATCATGTATTTTATTTTCTAGTTAAGTCCTTCTTAACTTTTTTGTTTTAAAAAAAAAAAAAAATCATGAAGTCAACATTTTTCTTATGAATTCGATCTTTTCCCTTTCACAACATTCACTTATCTGTGATTGGTCCAATTTTCACAATATGCACTTATCTATGATTGGTTCAGGAAAAAAAAAAAGAAAAAATACAAAAATATAAATAAAAATATAAATCACATGTTAGCTCACATCATTTTAAAAGTCATGAGTGTCCCAATTTTAGGGTCCCAAGAATTTTCGTTTATACATATTCAGACCCCATTCATGCTATGCCAAACTCTCTGAAACTGAAAAAGAAGTTCACATGATAGGACTCTTCTTGTCATTTCTCATTATTGGATACACATTCAATAATTTTACTGTATCCTAAAATCTGACTAGACAATTAATAAGATAACTTTCAATATAATCTTCAATGCAACAACTAGGAACGAAATGGGTTAGTTTAGATGAATCCATTGAGGCTGAAATTAGTACATGCCTCGGAAGAAACTCCGATAATAAAATTAGTTCACTTTCTAGAAACAAACAAAGGTCTATTTTAAGAGGTGGGTTAAAAGTTACTTCTCAACTTTTAGCTCATTTTTTACTTTTACAAAAAAGTTAAAATGTAATTTTTAACCATCTTTTCAAAATACCCCAAAGCACAATAAGTGTTGCACAAGTACTCACATGGAAAATTCTATATATATCTTATTATAAATCTTTATCATAAAATTTTATAATATCAATTATAAAATGCGTATCGTAACAAAATCATAAACTTTTGTTATATAAATTAAGAAAATTTAGACATTCTATAACATTAATTTATGATAAAATCATGCCAATTTAATAAGACACATATGAAGAGTGTGTATTATAGGATTTTCATACTCACATATGAAGAGTGTGTAAGCCTTTATATAAGTTGTTCATACAAGATACCTTTGGATCACATCTCTTACTGGATCTCTTTCCTAATTGTCCTAAGTAATTAAATTGTATTTTTTTATTTTATTTTTTTTTAGTACAATGATAAATTTATCTCTGAAAATTGGAGTAGAACTTTTTAATAAATAAATCCATTCTACAAGACCTGGTTGCAATTATCCCTTTAAAATTAGAGCAATCATATACATAATATCAAGGATAAATTACAAATACGTCTCCTGAGATGTGCTTAAAATATGAATTGTCCTCTGTGGTTTCCTATCACAATTTTTCATTTAACAGAATTAATTGAAAAAAGTAAAATTTCTAATTGTTCACCTATACAATATAAAATTATCTAAATTATTAATTGAAATAAAATTTTAACATTATTAAAAAATGTTAATTAACTTGATTATTTATTGATAAAAGGACCTATTTATTATAAAATTAGAAACCTTATGGAACATAATGTAATTTTTAGAATTACAGGGATAATTTATAATTTAAATAAATCTTGAGGGGTGTTTGTAATTTATCCTAATTTCAATTATTTATCTTATTTTCTCAATTAAAAGGCACGTGCGGGACCTCAAGGCCGCACGTGCGGGGCCAACTTCCGCACGTGTGGGGCTCACAGCCGCACATGCGGCTTATGCTGAAAAATATTGTTTGCTCCATTTTGAGTGTAGAATCCTCTAATATTATCGGAATATGTATTTGAGGCCTTTTGATAATGATACACTCCTTCGAAGTGAAATGAAACAGAAAGTAAAATGATAAGCAAAATGAACTAATGAGCAAGTTTTGAACATGTGCAGGACACACCCTGGGAGGAAGTAACACGTCATCTAGACACTGTGAGTAGTAGTACTGTCGTAGTATGCTTTATTTACAGCTAATGGTCACCATGAACACTCTGTTAATTGCAGGTTAACTATGTTAACGCACACGAACGATGATGAAATAAATGTGTATACTTCTGATTAATAGTTAATATTAATAGTCTATCCTCCGTAAGTGAACTATGTCGTGCTTAATGAATAAAAAGGAACTTAGGATCATTCTTGAACAACGATTTCGATGTAAACATTGAAAGATTTTGGCGCACATCGGTACGACTCTGAACCTACCTTGCATTTTGGTTAAGGTCCATGATCATCGTTAATGTATCAACTTGTAAGTTACCTATGATTCCGTATAAGAATTGCATACACACTCTTAACACTGTGAAGTTGGTTGTTCTGACCTATTAATGTAATGGTATCTTTGTCTTCGGATCATCGTTAGAATGAACGTTCTGCTAATTGCAAGACAAGCATGTCGATTTGCAATGAACCATGAGGAAATCTAAACGCATCATTAGGTCATATGTTGTTTACTGGTAATAGTTAATGTTAACATTCTGTTATCTGCGAGTTAGCAGTATTGGTTCATGACAAGAAAATGGAATGTAGGTACACTATGGTATAATGGTAATCTTAGGAACTGAGAATGCCCTATTTCTATTTATCCGTTTTGTTTCTGCTATGTTACGACATGATATGAGTGATTCAGGGAAACAGTGTGAAGCTATGGAAACATCAAAAGAATTTGTGAAGTTATGAATCTATGTGAATGTGTGACTGTGTGAACCCATCAGGCCAAGGGCCACTTTGTGAATGTGTGAACCTATCGAGTATGGAACAAAGTGTTGTACGGAACTAAGTGCTGCCATGCGAGTCACCTCTAGAATCCGTACGAGCCACCTCTTGAGTCCATCATACATATGTGAACTAGGCTTAAAGCCGATGTGAAAGTCATGAGGCCTATGGCCGTTCTATGAAAGTTGTGAAGCTCATAGCTGTTTGTAACATTTGTGAGGCCTATAGCCAATTTGTGATATCCGGGCCTATGGCCATTCTGTATGATCCGTTAGTATGAAACAAAGTGCTGCACGGAACTAAGTGCTGCCATGCGAGTCACCTCTAGAATCCGTACGAGCCACCTCTTGAGTCCATCATACATATGTGAACTAGGCTTAAAGCCGATGTGAAAGTCATGAGGCCCAGGGCCGTTCTATGAAAGTTGTGAAGCTTATAGCTGTTCTGTAACATTTGTGAGGCCTATGGCCAATTTGTGATATCCGGGCCTATGGCCATTCTGTATGATCCGTTAGTATGAAACAAAGTGCTGCACGGAACTAAGTGCTGCCATGCGAGTCACCTCTAGAATCCGTACGAGCCACCTCTTGAGTCCATCATACATATGTGAACTAGGCTTAAAGCCGATGTGAAAGTCATGAGGCCTATGGCCGTTCTATGAAAGTTGTGAAGCTTATAGCTGTTCTGTAACATTTGTGAGGCCTATGGCCAATTTGTGATATCCAGGATTCTTTTACCCTCCAATGTTTCTGTTATACACCAATCTTGAGGGCTGGGTCTGTATATGTATGTGTACATAGCTAAATTCTTCGAGGCAGGTCTCTGTATGTCTATTTGCCATATGTTCTGTTTGTGATCCTGGCATAGTAGTGATGGCTCAATGGATGTTTTGTACGTTATTATATAAGATTAAATGCTTCCGTTCAGGCCCCATATCTTATATACATCGAGTTAAGTGTCCGTTTTTGAAGTGGTCATGCCTGAACTTTTAGGGGCGGGTTCGGGGTGTGACAAATAAAATATTTGGGTTATGGTTTGTTGAAAAGAGGAGTGTAGCAGCTTGGGTGTTGAAAAAGAAAATTTTGGTTTGTTGATAAGAGGAATGCAGCACCAGCTTGGCTGTTTTGGTGCTGATTTTTGGTTTTGGGTTGTGTGGGTTGATTTTGTGAGGAATCATGTATTTTATTTTCTAGTTAAGTCCTTCTTAACTTTTTTGTTTAAAAAAAAAAAAAATATTCGTGAGGCCAAGGGGTTGGTTGTATGGATGCGAGTAGCAGTAGTAGAGGTAATTTGTACTTTTCGAATCTCTCTCGATGCATGTCATCTTCTTATACCTTTAATTTCATGCTGTTAATGAAATTTTTCTTTGTTGATCAAAAAAAAAAAAAAAATCATCCTGTACACCAATTCTACAAACTTTGCTTTTATGAAAATTAATCTTTAACCCAGACATTATTTCAAAACATCTCAAAATTCTCTTTACTGCAATGATTTCCTCCCAATTTGCTTCACAAAAAATAATAGTGTCATCTGCGAACTGAATGTGAGACAATTTCAGTTCCCTATGACCTATAGCAGCTCCTTTGATAAGCCCTACTTCTTTTGCTCTTTCCATTAGAATATTCAGTCCCTCTTCCACCAAGTTGAAAAGGAAAGGTGATAGGAGATCACCTTGCCTCAGCCCTTTATGAGAAGAGAACTCTGAAGTTGGGGACCCATTAACTAACACAAAGATTATTGCTAATGATATGCATGTCTTTATCCATTCCACCCACTTGTCACCAAAACCAAAATTGGACATCATAGAATACTGGAACCCCCAATTTACTGAATCATATGCTTTTTCGAAATCCAATTTAAGAATAATTCCTCTCCTCTTTGTCTTCTTCCACCCGTCCACCACCTCATTAGCTATTAAGATCCCATCAAATATACATCGCCCACTCAAAAACCTGATTGAACTTCACTAATAATCATACGAAGAACCTACCACAGTCTTCTTGATCAACTTTTGCAAGAATCTTATACACTGAACTTACCAAGCTTATTGGCCTAAAATTTGTCAACCCAATAGAACAATCCTTCGGAATGAGTGATATGAATGAGCTATTAACACCTTTAGCTAGCTTCTCATTTAAATGAAATTCCTTCATTACCTGCACCACCTCATCTTTCATAACAGTCCAGCACCTTTGGTAACAAGCTAGGTTGAATCCATTAGGCCCAAGGGCCTTATTCCCCTCACACTCCTTCACAGCATCCCAAATCTCTTTCTCTGAAAAATCAGCCTCCAACATACTTGTTGATTGTGGGCTGATTTTAGCACACACACCTGCTAATTTAGGCATGTTCACCCAATCTTCTCCCAATCTTCCGAAAACAGCTTATTGAAGAAATTCACCACTGCTTGTTTGATTAAATTTGGCCGATCCACCAAGGTCCCATTAACGTTCACAGAGTCAAGCATATTCTTCCTTTGTCTTCTACTAGCCATAATATGAAAGAACCTTGTATTCTTATCACCATTTTCAGCCCATGACAATCTGGATTTTTGATGCCACAAACTCTCTTTTTTTCTCTTTAGGTCCCATACTAAACTTTGAACCTCTCTTCTGTGACTTTTTTCAAACTCCTACAAGTCACTAACCTCAGCCTTTAGATCCCATTCATGTAATTCATCCTCAGCTTTTTTCAATTTTTGATCCACATTTCCAAACACTTCACTATTCCACCTTACCTAACCTCGCAAATGCCCTAACTTTTTGACAATCCTATTACTAGCCCACCCACTTACCTGATAATTATCCCGGGCATTCTTGACTTCAACCAAAAAATTTGGATGAGTGCTCTATGCATTGATACACCTAAATGGTTTAGGCCCCTAGTCCCTCTCATCATTCATGATCATAACTGGGCAATGAACAGAGATGCTTCTATTTAATCCCCACTGTTTAAAGGAGAATTTCTCAAGCCGTCCAGTATCCCAAAAAAATCTATCTAATCTCCTCCACCTCCCTTCCTCCACAGCACCATGTAAATAACATTCCTAGCATTGGTAACTCATGCAGCTCCATAATATCAATGAAATCATTAAAGGCCTTCATCTTCCTATCCCTTCTAATACACCCTTTCCTTTCATTCATGAACCTGATCTCATTAAAATCACCTCTAATACACCAGGGTCTTGTGAAAGCTACTTTTAATTTTGACAATGATTCCCATAAAAGCTTTCGACCAATAACATCATTCGATGCATACACATTAACAATACCACACTCAAAAATACGATTAAGGATACCTGCCATTAGAATGAAGCATCTGTTGCTGCAGCACTCCTTAAGCTCAAATACCTCAGCATTCCATAAGCAAAGAAGACCAATTGCACTTCCTTCAACACCCACCTCCAAAAAACCCACATCCTCCGTTGGCCATAAAGACTTTATAAACCCATCATCAATATTGCTTCTCTTCGTTTCCTGAAGTAATAATACCTCAATTTTTCGATCTCTAACGAACATCTTAATGCTCCTCATCTATGGTCTTCTTAGACCCCTTACATTCTATGCTGTGATCTTCATCAAAAAACTTAAACACACACCTGACCCCCTGAGACTACCCATAAACTTAGGCAGCCACCTCAACTTCCTCCACGCATTCCCTGTCCTTTACTTCAAGCTGAATAATTCTTACCTTGACAATCCAAACCAAGTATCGGCCCAACTTAAATCCATTAAATCCCTAAAGTATTTAATTCAAATATATTTAGTCCATGAAAAATTACAAAAATAAAATATAAGCCCATAAATATTATAAATTAGTAAAAGATCTTATCTAGTTAAAATTTTATTTCAAAAAAAAATCTTATATTTTATTCTGTATTTGAAAAGTGGGCGTCGGTACTTATGATGAATTTTCTTTATAAATGTAGGGGTAATTATTTATAGTATTTTCTTACTTATCTTCTACGTATACAATGACTACGTGTTTGTCTTTATTTAATATTATATGCCAGATTTTGTTTATAATTTCTAATTGATTATTTTTAAACTTTTCACTAAGTTCTTTTTATAACTTAATAAATTATTATTTTGTTGTATTATTATTTGTAGTGAAGTATTATTATTTAAATTATCTAGTTCTATTTCTTCAATATATCTAACACTCATATAATTTATCGATAAGATTGAGAAATCATACTCTAATTTTAATTTACACATAACGAAATAAAATAATTTTTAAAGAAAAAATAAAAATGTAAGATTTTTTTATAATAAAATCTTAATTAGGTAGGGTCTTTTATTAATTTATCATACTTATGGGTATATATTTTATTTTTGCAATCCTTGTAGAGATTAAATATGTTTTAATTAAATACTTTAGGAACTTAATAGATTCAATCTATATATAGTTAATGGATTTTAATTTATATACTTTAAGGACTGAATAGACTCAATTGATAACTTTAATTTATATACTTTAGGTATTGAGTACATCCAGTCAATAGTTTAGGGGACTAAATAGATAATTTAACAATAGTTTAAGAGTAGAAAGTGTAATAAATCCAATATATATATATATATATATATTAGAATTTATTGTTTTAACCAATAAATGCTAAATTAGAGTGCCACATGAACTTGCCCTAGTACCACCAAATTATTTTCCTCAAAGAAGTCATATTACTAAGGGTAACTTACAGACTCTTGCGGATGAAGAAAATATAATAAGTCATGTAGTTTTGACATAATTATATTAAGTTTTATTGTGAATTAAATTTACATAAAATGTAGTCTCATTTTTACTAATAATTTGTTAAGTATATAAATAAAAAATGATAATATTATCATTTTTTTTACATGAAAATATTTATTTTACGTTGTTTATCTTTGTATTCTTACAATATCTTCATTAATTTTAATTTATTTAATTTTACTAAAAAAAATTAATATAATTATATTAAAATTATAAAACTTACTATATTCTTTTCATATCTCTCGTAATGTCAGTCTAATTTACCCTATTGCTAATCAATAATAATTCAGTACGTGCTACATGTTGTGCCAAAAGTAAATAATTCATTGCATGTGATGATGAATTCTATTATTTAGGTTTAGGTATAGCTATCAAATTCAACAGTCAATAATTATAATATCTGTATAATAAAATATATTTTGGATATTTACGTATAAATTTTAATAATTAAACTTATTATTTAATAAGTCCTATGAAAAAAATTTATCATAAAAAAGTCATTAATTATAAATTTTAGCGACAATTTATAAAAATCATAACAAAAAAAGTCACTAATTGTCAATTTTTAGCGACGTATGTAAAAAATTGTCACAAAAAAATTATTTTTAGCAATAATTTTATCAAAACTTATTTTTAATAGGATTTGATGATAATTAAGTTTAACTATTAGAACCTATTAGTAGTTTACTCATTAATTTATTATTAAATAGTAATACCAAATATTGGTGATAACTATTAGAAGGTTTTTATTTATCCCTGGAATAACTCATCGAAACTCTTTACTTCCCATGTAATTTTTCCTATCATAAAAAAGTCATTAATTATAAATTTTAGAGATAATTTATAAAAATCATAACAAAAAAAGTCACTAATTGTCAATTTTTAGCGACGTATGTAAAAAATTGTCACAAAAAAATTATTTTTAGCGATAATTTTACCAAAACTTATTTTTAATAGGATTTGATGAGAATTAAGTTTAACTATTAGAACCTATTAGTAGTTTACTCATTAATTTATTATTAAATAGTAATACCAAATATTGGTGATAACTATTAGAAGGTTTTTATTTATCCCTGGAATAACTCATCGAAACTCTTTACTTCCCATGTAATTTTTCCTATGATTTGGCTTATCTCTCGTGGATTGGACAATAAATTAAGTTACGAGTGTTGTTTTAATAATTTGAACATTTCATCTTTTAAGTACTTGTATGTAGGTCACTTTTAAAAAATATATATTAATCTGATAATTATAATTATATAATTTCATTATATCTATTATGAATAAATGGACAGTGCACTTTTTAAAATTATGCTTGTGGTCCAATTTTGTTTTTAACAAAAATATTGAGATTATGTAGTTATGTTTATCATATTAATGTGATTTTTTTTTTCAAAAATAATTTACATATTGTTAATAGTTAAAATATGATTGGTTTAAACCATCAAAATAAGATTTGTGAGGGACTTAAAGAGCCCAAAACTGAATTGTTGACAAAGCCCACTTCTTTTCCATATGGCATGGTAATTTTCACTAAATATAATGAATTCTACACAAACATATTACTTCATTATTGAAGTTTTAGCATGAGGATATCTGAAAGACCAGAAGTCTCATTTTCAAGAAAGTGTTTGTTGAGCTTCTGAAACCCTTCCCTTGCACAAGTTTCATCTAGTGTAGGTGTAGCTCTAAAAAATGGCACCATATGCTGCAACAAGAAGGACCAAAAACAAGCAGCATCAGATCCGATCGGAAGAACACGAAGAAGAAGAAAAAGCAGCATCGATGGAGTTGTCTACAAGAAGGTCCAAAAGGCCATCAACATCGTCATCATCAAAGGTGGTTGACAAGGAGGAGGAGGAGGAGGAGGACAGTGATGTATGTGGTGGTGGATGTTGTACTCCAAAGGCTGAGAAGTTCAGAATACCAGAGCTCCTATCATGTCCACCCCCAGCCCCCAAGAAGCTCAGACTCGCTCCAAATTGCTCACTCCAAACATCTCCCATCTCCTTCTATGCTTCTCCTGATATTGACCTTTTTTTCCTCTTTGCTCTTTCCAATAATTCTCACCTTTCTTAATTTACAATTTAAAAAAAGAAAAGAAAAGAAAAGAAAAAGGATCAGCACATATATGGTACTCCCCCGTCCCAAAATATTAGTCCCTTATTCCATTTTTCATTGTCCCAAAATATTAGTCCCTCTTCAAAAATCAAGTACAAAAATAATATAAATTTCCTATTTTACCCTTCTTTTAAATTAATAAACAACATAAAAAGTACAATTATGCATTGATATTCTCAAAAAATGTACTATCAAAAGGATAATTTTGGAAAATCAACTTTTTTCAAATGCAATAATTGTACTACCAAAAAAAGTTAGATTCCCCAAAAGGGACCATTATTTTGGGACGGAGGGAGTAATTCTCTTTAAGCGTGACCAAAGGAGCTCCTACTGAGTTAGACTCTCTCTCTATTCTTCTTTTTCTTCTTCTTCTTATTGCACTTTCAAATTTCTCACCTTGCTTAATTCCAGTAGGGGACGATTAGTGCGTAGCAATTCTCTTTGGGCGTAACCAAATGAGCTCCTACACACTGCATAGCAATTCTCTCTGGGCGTGACTAAGGAGTTTCTACCCATTGTAGAGTCAAGAGTCAGTCTCTCTCTCTCTCTCTCCCCTTCCTTATGAGAACTTCATAGTAGATATGGTAGTGTTATTATATGAATATGGGTTAGCCCTAAGGAGGCTTGATCCTTACCCAAGTATTGTGCAAACAGATGTCTAATGACTTGACATCGTGTTGGCATGTTTGGTTTATGTACTGAACACGAAGAAGAAGAAAAAGCAGCATCGATGGAGTTGTCTACAAGAAGGTCCAAAAGGCCATCAACATCTTCATCATCAATGGTGGTTGACAAGGAGACGGAGGAGGAGGACAGTGATGTATGTGGTGGTGGATGTTGTACTCCAAAGGCTGAGAAGTTCAGAATACCAGAGCTCCTACCATGTCCACCCCAAGCCCCCAAGAAGCTCAGACTCACTCCAAATTGCTCACCCCAAACATCTCCCATCTCCTTCTATGCTTCTCCTGATATTGACCTTTTTTTCCTCTTTGCTCTTTCCAATAATTCTCACCTTTCTTAATTTACAATTTAAAAAAAGAAAAGAAAAGAAAAGAAAAGAAAAGAAACGAAAAGAAAAAGGATCAGCACATATATAGTAATTCTCTTTAAGCGTGACCAAAGGAGCTCCTACTGAGTTAGACTCTCTCTTTATTCTTCTTTTTCTTCTTCTTCTTATTGCACTTTCAAATTTCTCACCTTGCTTAATTCAAGTAGGGGACGATTAGTGCGTAGCAATTCTCTTTGGGCGTAACCAAATGAGCTCCTACACACTGCATAGCAATTCTCTCTGAGCGTGACTAAAGGAGTTTCTACCCATTGTAGAGTCGAGAGTCAGTCTCTCTCTCTCTCTCTCCCCTTCCTTATGAGAACTTCATAGTAGATATGGTAGTGTTATTATATGAATATGGGTTAGCCCTAAGGAGGCTTGATCCTTACCCAAGTATTGTGCAAACAGATGTCTAATGACTTGACATCGTGTTGGCATGTTTGGTTTATGTACTTGAAGTTGAATGAACAAGCCCATTGATTTTAGAGGTGATCTCTACTTGATTACTGTCTTGTTGAATGAAATATGGTTTGCCAAATTCCAGTTTCAACTGTTTTTGATCATTGGGTGCAATTTCAGCCTAATCTTTTTGAAGTTTGGATGGGTTCTTTATGTGGATTTGCAAATTATGCCTAATTTAGTTCAGGTTTGCCAATAATGGCTTCAATGTGATTGTTAGCGTTAGTTTGGAAATTCGTTATTTTAATTGATTTTTTGACTTTTTAAATAAATGTGTAAAAAAAAATAAAAAGAGTGATATGATAATTTATAGTGACTTTTGATTTTTTTACTATATTAGCAACTTATTATCTGTAGATGCTAGTGTAAATATGTGTACCTAATAATTATGAGAATTAACCCTTCCAATGCAATTTTGACAAAGTTAAAAATTGATAAGGTAAATCCATCTCATCTTTAACTTTTTTAATAATCAATTTTTTTATGCACTAACGGGTTTTTATTTATTTTATTGTTTTCAAATACACCGATTTGTAATATTTTTAACCAAGAATAGTTTTAATTTTTTTTAATTTTTTTTTAGAGGTGTCAGTTAACCAAAAGCACCTCTAAGAGCATCCACACCAATCTCTTTAAATTTTTAGTCAAATTATAACTTAAAAAGCTATTTTGTTATTTTAACTAGTCACATTCTTAGTACTCACTTTATCAAACTCTCTATTCTAATTCAATCCTATAAAAATATTATTTTTTTTATTGTATTTGTTTTTCTTTTCTTTTTTTTATTAAATTAATGAGTTGGCTTGATCAAGTAGCATTTCTAGGGGCTTGATCAAGTAGCATTTCCTTGAGGAAACAGGGGCTTGCGGTTCGGCTCGGGCAGCCATCGTGCTGATCTTCGATTGAGTTGAAAATTTTTGTGGTTGATCTACTCAATCAACTCTAAAATATGAACGGATCGGATCATTAGAAAGTCACCGACACGGTGGCTAACTAGTGCGTTTCGGGCAAAATATAAAGACCCCAAATCCAAAACTTGACCATATTCTTCAATCCTTCTGCTATGCATTCTAACGGCTATATTTATCAACGGTCAAAATTTTTTAAATGGTCATATTCTTCTACTATAAACAATAACATATGTTCTCTAATTCTCACAATCTAAATGAAATGTTTTTCTTTCATTCTATCCTCATTAATTTTTTATATATGGATCTTCATTTTCTAGACATGATTCTTTATGACTTCGACTCCAATGATGAGTTGGAGATAGTTACAATAGCTTCTATGGAAGCCGAGAGTTCATCAAAGTCACGACATGCTGCTCGTAAACGACGTGAGTTCGTTTGGCGTAATCCTTTGCAAGGCCATGAAAGGCTTTTTCTCGACTATTTTGATGATCCATCAGTATTTCCTCTCAAATTATTTCGGAGAAGGTTTCAAATGAATCGTTCTCTTTTTCTCTGCATTCAATCTGAAGTAGAAGCTTATGAACCATATTTTGTTCAGAAAAGAAATGGTGCTGGAGTGCTCGATTTGTCTTATCTTCAAAAAATAACTGTGACTCTTAGAATGCTTGCTTATGAAGTAGCATCTGATTTTATGGCTGAATACTTGAGGATTGGAGAAAGTATTGCAATGAAAAGCCTAAAGAAATTTGTCAAAGCAGTGGTTGTAATTTTTTCTGATGAGTACTTGAGGTCACCGAACTACGACGACATTGCTAGACTTCTAGCTATTGGCAAAATTCGCGGTTTTCCTCGGATGTTAGGGAGCATTGATTGTATGCACTAGACCTGGAAGAATAGCCCAACTGCATGGAAAGGTATGCATATAGGCCATGCACATGAGCCATCAATTATTTTGGAAGCAGTAGCATCATATGATCTTTGGATATGGCATGCATTTTTTAGGTTACCTGAGTCTAATAATGATATCAATGTTTTAGAACGGTCTTCCATATTTATCGAGCTTGCTCAAGGGCGCGCTCCTCGAGTTAATTACACCATTAATGGAAATGAATATAACATGGGATACTACCTTACTGATGGTATATATCCACAATGGACAACTTTTGTTAAAACAATTCCTTGTCCACAAGGAAAAATAAATAAACATTTTGCTGAGGCCTAAGAGGCGTATAGAAAGGATGTAGAGCGTGCATTTGGAGTGCTTCAAGCACGTTTTGCAATTGTGCGTGGACCTGCATGACCATGGGATCTTCAGACTCTTGAAGATATTATGAAGGCTTGTATAATACTACACAACATGATCATTAAGGATGAAAGAGATGACAGAGGAGAGCAAAACATTGATTATGAAAAAATCGATAAAATCCCTCATGCACAAGTGTCACTTGAACGTACACCTGATATCATGGAATTTATTCAACAACATCGTCGCATAAGAGGTAGAGAAACTCAATCTTGACTCCAATCGGATTTGGTTGAGCACTTGTGGCAAATCTATAGCCAATCTTAGGTTGGAATAGGCAAATCTATAGCTAATTCGGAATTAATGAGAATGGACCTAAACACTAGGTTGGTTCTCATGATTACAACCTTTGTTGTAGCTTGTAATTTTTATTATTATTTTTTTTTTGAATTGCTATATCTTGTAAGTTGATTTTTGGAAAAGTCGTGTGTAAGACATATTGATTTTGATGATTTTATTTATATTATGTTTTTTATTTTGTTTGATGAATTCATTTGATGAAAGTGTTATAAATTATAGATATTAATTCATTCTATTATTTTGTGGCTTTTGGAGGTGAAAATGAAGCCCAAATTTAGCACAAAAATAGCTGCAAAGCAACCCCGAAACAGCAACAAAATAGCCCCAAAATAGTAGCAAAATAGCTCTGAAACAGCAGCAAAAACAGTAACAAAAGTATCTGAAACAGCAGTAAAAACAACCCAAAAATAGCAGTTCAGCTCAGTTTCATTCTGAAATAGAATACTCTTTGTGGCACCAAACCCCAACAAGTAGAGCTTACAAAATGCCAATGTATTATATAAGCAAAAGTTACAAAATATACATAAACCTTACTTTAGTCAAAAGTCACAAAAAATAACCCCTGTTTCTACATCATGAAACTAGATAGCACAAAAGGATCCAACTATTTCATCCAAACAAAATCTACCAAACTAATAGTCAAAAGTTACAAAAAACATAACAGTTTCATAAATTACTTGCAAATGTTGCTCTTTCTTCTACTCTCAGTGATTTCCATTTGACGCTGATAATAGTATTCTTGTTGCATTGGGGACATCCCACTCGTATCCATCATCATGATTCTCTCTTCTTCCTTCAATTTCTCTAATTCAGCTTTTTCAACGTGAATAATATATGATTTCTCAAACATTTTGTAACGATCCCGATTTTGACCCGGTCAACTTACGGGGGTTGAGTTGCCCGGTCAGCTCGCCGAAAGCAAAAATGCAAAATGTATTCGAATTTGCTTACGAAAAAGTGTATTTCACGCTTGAGTGAACCATGTTATATCAGTCCGTAAGTGGAGATTTCAGATCACTTTTTCAGTTCTCTCTCTCTCTAAAACTCTCCAAAATTTCCAGATCTAGAGCTTATCTCTCTAGAAGTCATCTTCTCTCTTTGATTCCTCCAAATCCGTTGAGAGTCAGACCGAAGTTCTTCATCAAAGTTGTGTAAGTTCTCGAGGGCTTCATTGTGTGTGGTGGAGATCAAGTTTCGACACCGTAAATTTTGGGGTTTCATCTAATTTTTTCTTCAAACCTTGAGGTAGGGATTTTCTTAGAGTTATATATATATTTTTGCAAGATTTATATGATTTTCGAAATCATCTTTCGATAGCTTTGAAAATTGATTGTTAATTCAAGAAGTTGAGCGATTTTGAAAGTGGGTTTGTCTCTTGTTCTTTTAAAATGATCTTATGGGTTTTGATCTTCGTTGATTGAAGAAAAAATGATTTTGAAAAGTTTTTTTTCAAAAGATTTGAGTTGTACAGTTTTGGTGAAAAAACCTAAAATTTTGAGATTTTTTTTAGAGACTGAAAATCCATGAATGATATTATTATATTTATTTTGTGTGTCAAAATAAATGGATGTTTTGAAAATTTATTATTTATATTTATATAAATGATGAATTTCAGGGAATATAAGAATTATTGTTCATTTTGTAAATTATTGTTCAAAACGTTGAAATAGTCTTGTAATGACTAATTGTTGAGGATACTTGAGAAGAGGGAATTGTGTTATTCCTTAGATGATGAATTGGAATAACAATATTTATATTCATCTTGTGTTATTGGCATATCAATTCATTTGATTACATTAAACTTTGAAAGTTGATTTAAAAACTTGCTTTGAGAAAAGAATGTTGAGAAACAAGTTTTTATGGAATGGTTTTAGGGTAAATACATTGGTAAGTCTTGATAGGTGGTGTAGTTGATATTGAATAAGTTGGCCTGAGAGTCCAGGGTGAAAGATAGAAAACCCGCGCGGATAGATGTCGAGCCTTCCGATTAATACCAGTAAAAATGAAAAATTGGTAGTACTTGTATAAGTCTACTTGCAGAAACCAACCTAAGGATTACCAGAGTCGTATTTACCGCTCTTTAAATGAATTGTTAAGTTTTGAAGAATTGAAATTACATGACATCATTGAGCATGATGGTTTTCAAAGATGAAAATGTGATTTGCTTTCAAAAGGGCATAGCATGGCATGTGCATTTCATCTCTTAAGACTTGTATAAAATGTATATACTTCGTTAAGGATTTCCTACTGGGCTTTACGACATGATTTTTGTGCAAGAAAAGATGTGGTGATACCGTCTCACTAAAGGCGAGGAAATGTGTGTTGAAAGTACGAGACTTTCATTTTGCTATGACTCTATGTGTAAGCCAATGGATGTATGTGTGTGGGTTTGAATAACCGTTTTGTGTAACCAGGCTCAAGCCTTGGAAACTTGTAAACCCTTTAGGGTATTTATTTGTTTATTTACTTGTTGTTGGATTAATATATTGTTACATGAAGAACTATTGTATCATGCAATGTAAGTTTGGAGATTTATATTCGATTTTTCTTGAATGAACCATGATTATTGTATTATCATTTGGGCTAGAAATTTGGAGTGTTACACATTTCAAGTTTTTTCTCAGTTCCTTTCTTTCTCTCTTCTTTCATGTCAATTAGCAAGTCTACAATTAGAGAACTTGTAGCATCCTAGCTCTTCAATTTTTTCAGCCTTTCTTTTTCTTTCTTCTTGCCCATTGGTCTCTCCAATTGTATATGCGTATCTCGTGAGATCTTATCTTCCTCTAGATTGACTAACTCTGGTGTTGAAGGTGAAGTTGTGGAATTTCGGCTCCTTTTTGGATTTTTCTTTTGGTATGTCTCAAACCATTTTGGTTGATGCCTCAACACATTCCAACAATGTTCTAATGGAAATGAGGTGTTATGAACCTCCTGGTACATAAGTTTTGCCTTGCCAATCTAGAAAATATATTGAATGGTAAATGTTTAAATATCTATGTAATTGATACCTTGTCTTGCTCATTCACACCGCTTTCACGCATTAATTCAATTTGAGCAAAGTACCCACAAAAATTATTGGTTCCAAGTTGAATGATTGACCATTGGTTTATCAAAGAATTATCAGTACGTTCACTACTAAATGTTTTGTGCTCATAGAAGTACTCCCAACTCTCTCCAGAATGTCTTACTTTTTTGCTCATTTTCATGCACTGCATCCAAGCTAGTATTAAGCCAAGCTGATATAAGCAAATTGTCTACTTTTTTAGAAAAGTTGCCACTGCGTGACTTTTTCATAGAAGATTTTTTTTTGGTTGAAAACTGAGATTCTTGGCCAGCACCTTGACTAACTTGGTTTAGATATTGAGACTTCATGAATTGGTTGTCAAGGTTAGAGCCCTCTTGTAAAAGATTGGTAAAGAAGGGGTCTCCACTTGAATCCATCCTACAAGATAGAGTGAATCAAATCAGAATGAATCCATCGTTCAAGATAGAGTGAAAAATTTTAGATTGAATCCATCCCAACAAGACAATAAGTTAGCAATTTCGTATAAAATAAAATCAATTTAATGAAGCCTACTAAGACCACCTCCAACCCTTAACTCAAATTTGGGGAAAAGAGCACACGTGTTAAGTTTTCGTTGTATTAAATAAGAGGAGTTGACAACTTTTTTTGTTACAAAAATTAAATTTGATATGAATTTCAGTGAAGAATTTGAGTCTCCCTTTGAGTAAAACTCAAGTTGATATGAGTTTGAGTAAATGGTTGAGCTTGGAGGAGTGTTTCGATAATTGTTTACTAAAATTTGAATTTTTTTCTTTTTTGAAAGGCAAAAGGAAGATTTTATTATGTAAACAAAATTACATAACAAAAGCTTAATATAAGGAAGCATCATAGGTAGCTAAGCTAACATCCCAATAGAGTTAATATGGAAGCAACTACCCAATCAAATGCTAGCAAAAACTGCAAACAAGGTTTGAAAAAAAGTGTTGGTAAGGCACCAACACAGCCAACTCCCAGCAAGCCAGAAAATGCCCTCTAGATTGTGCAGGAAATCAGTGATACTCCACACCATAGTAGCAAAGCATCCATTAGAAAACTAGCACATTCACCACACTTCACACCTTCTAAACCTTATCCATGTTGTTATACTCTAAAATGGTGTGTTGAGAAAGATTAAAATCTTAAAGCACTACTTCCTTTCTATTCCACTTAAACAAAATAGAGACCAAAAAGTGGAGTTAAAGATTAAACAATAGGCAGAGGTAGGATGACTTAATTA